TGGCTCTGGCTCTGGCTCTGGCTCTGGCTCTGGCTCTGGCTCTGGCTCTGATTCTGGCTTCGGCTCCGGCTCCAGGTTCAGCTCCATCTTTATTTTATGGCTTCGTTGGTGGTCAGAGCCGAGCCTTGATGCAATGCGGCCTACCTCTCTCTGGCTTCTCGTCTTGGGCCTAACACGTCCAAGTTCAATGTTTGGGCCACGGCTACCCTCAGGATCGAAATGCTGATTCTCAGGCACAGAAAATAGCCCCAGGTTTTCACCAGTCATGAAGATGGCGTCGGCTGCTGTCATTTCAGCTCTGAGGTCCTGGCCAGCCTCTGAGGTGCCACTGCGGCCTGGGAGAACCGAAGCAGCGGGAGATTTACCTTGGGACCTGACAGTGTCTCTATGTGCCTTCAGCACCTTCTCTGGGGGTGACTTTGTGGCCATGTCGGCTTAACGGCTTCTGACTGACTCAGAGAAATGGCTTCTCGTCGGCTTCTTAGCGGCTTCGCGCGGTGAAGTGGCTGCCTGAGACCCAGCAAGGATGCTGGGTAGAGACCGGATACAGTGGGAGAGTGTGGAGGGCTGGCCAAATTCTATTGAGATTATAGTAATAATAATTAATAATAATATCATCCCCCCCTTTTTTTTCTTCCTTCAAGCCACATATATCTCTTCTTGTTCTAACACAAATTTATGGTCTTTCTTTAAATTAACTATTGTATGTATGTATGTATGTATGTATGTATGTATGTATATGTGTAAGTGTATGTGTATGTATATATACATATATTCGTGTGTATGTATGTGTATGCATGTATATGTGTATGTGTATGTGTACGTGTATATATATATATGATGTATATTCCTAAATATTTCTGTCTGCATAGTGTTATTTGTATGTATGTTTTCAGGGCTGACCATTTGTTATTGGATAACTAATAGCTAAGCTCCTCCCTTGGAAAGACTATGACTCCTGCTCTAGTTGCCCAAAGTTTTTTGTGTAGTGTTGAGGCCTCTTGGGGGTCTCTACTCATCCACCTTAACGAGTCTCTTGTTGTCCCTGTTCAGCCCATGTTTTGTCTGTCATGTTGACGAGACTTTATGGGTATGGCTTCTGACATTAAAGAGTCTCCTTTAGGAGGGTTAAATAACAGTAAGGATTTCTTTTTTTTTTTTCTTTGTGGTTTACTTCATTGTTTGATCTACATTTTTTATGTTAATCAAAGGCTTTATAAGTTTGGTAATGTGCAATAATGAATCCTAATGCAGACATGTTTGTAACATCAATTCTGTGGACTTCTGTTGTTTTGAAAACCAAGTATCCATGTAAGGCAATCTGGACTAATGTCTGTTAACTCCTCTCAGTTATTTCTAAATAAAATATAGAAAACACCCTAACAATAAACAAAGAGCCATGAATTTGCTATAGGCCCTTAACTCGCAGGATAACCATCTCAAATCAGTTTTAAAAAGTTAAAGAAGGACTGGGCCTAAGCCTTGTATTCCTAAACGTGTTATATAGGCACAATGCCTATGAGAGTAACAATATTAATCTCACTTCTATATCAATAAGAGACTCATACCAATGAAAACCTTTAATTTGAAATCAAAGTAAATTTTGTACCATTTAAGAAATTATAGCTTCAGCTTAATAAAAATTATACAGATTTCTACCAATAGGTTATGGGCTATGCAACAAATCATAGCTATTCCTCCCTGTTCCAACAAAACTACTACTTTTCCCTAGAAAGACAGTGCAATATTAACCACCTCAGTCCCCAAGCCCAGAGAATAGAGGCGTTGACTCTTCATAAACTTCTTCAAGCTGATTACAGGCCTTGAGATATGAGAAGAGGGGCAAAGGGAAGCATAAATTGATAAGCCTCTGACATCTGTGTCTTCACTGCATCCAGCTGAGATTCCAGGACATCAGAAGTTCGAGCAAGTCTGCTCAGCTTGCTTGATGAGTAGATACACCAAGGCTGTGTATTCTGAAATATACAATTCTGAAGACAAATTTTAGTATTAAGATATTTTTTTGTTTGAATTCTGGAATCTAGTCTTCTGGTGGCCTGTCTCTATCATATCTAATCCATATAATTCTGGGAGTTTCTAGGAGGGTGTGCTCCCACCATCCTCCCTTCACTCCTCCCTGCTCTCAGATTCCCCAACACTAGGGAATCCAAATTATTGGGTACCAAGACCCTCCACTTCCACTGATGCCTGACAAGGCCACCCTCAACTGCCTATACAGGTGGAGCCAGGAGTCCCTCCCCTTGTGTTCTCGGGCTGGAGGTTTTAGAATGGCTACTCCAGCTTGTTTCTTATGACCATTTGCTTCAAAAATTGTTTTCCAGTCTTTTACTCTAAGGTAGTGTCTGTCTTTGTCACTGAGGTGGGTTCCCTGTATGCAGCAAAATGCTGGGTCCTGTTTATGTATCCAGTCTGCTAGCCTATGTCTTTTTATTGGGGAATTGAGTCCATTGGTGTTAAGAGATATTAAGGAACAGTGATTGTTGCTTCCTGTTATATTTGTTATTAGAGGTGGAATTATCTTTGTGTGGCTATCTTTTGGATTTGTTGGAAGAGGATTACTTTCTTGCTCTGTCTAGGGTATAATTTCCCTCCTTGTATTGGAGCTTTCCTGCTATTATCCTTTGTAATGCTAGGTTTGTGAAAAGATACTGTGTAAATTTGATTTTGTGGTGGAATATCTTGGTTTTTCCATTTATGGTAATTGAGAGTTTTGCTGGGTATAGTAGCCTGGGCTGGCATTTGTGTTCTCTTAGGGTCTGAATGACATCTTTCCAGAATCTTCTGGCTTTTACAGTCTCTGTCTGGTGTAATTCTGATAGGTCTGCCTTTATATGTTACTTGACCTTTTTCCCTTACTGCTTTTAATATTCTTTCTTTGTTTTGTAATTTGGTGTTTTGATTATTATGTGATGGAAGGAATTTCTTTTCTGGTCTAGTCTATTTGGCATTCTGTAGGCTTCTTGTATGTTTATGGGTTTCTCATTCTTTAGGTTAGGGAAGTTTTTTTCTATAATTTTGTTGAAGACATTTATTGGCCCTTTAAGTTGGGAATCTTCACTCTCATCTATACCTATTATCCTTAGGTTTGGTCTTCTCATTGTGTCCTGGATTTCCTGGATGTTTTGCATCAAGAACTTTTTGCACTTTGCATTTTCTTTAACAGCTGTGTCAATATTTTCTATGGTATCTTCTGCACCTGAGATTCTTTCTTCTATCTCTTGTATTCTGTTGGTGATGCTTGCATCTATGACTTCTGATTTTTTTCCCTAGGTTTTCTATCTCCAGGGCTGTCTCCCTTTGTGATTTCTTTATTGTTTCTACTTCCATTTTTATGTCCTGGATGAATTTGTTCAATTCCTTCACCTGTTTGGTTGTGTTCTCTTGTAATTCTTTAAGGGATTTTTGTGTTTCCTCTTTAAGGGCTTCTACCTGTTTACCTGTGTTCTCCTCAATTTCTTTGAGAGTGTTATCTATGTCCTTCTTAAAGTCCTCTATCATCATCATTAGAAGTGATTTTAAATCTGAATCTTGCTTTCCTGGTGATATCAGGAATTCAGGACTTTCTAGTATGGAAGAACTAGGTTCTAATGATGCCAAGTACCCTGGGTTGCTGGTGCTTATGTTCTTGCGCTTGCCTTTCATCATCTGGATCACCTTAGTGCTATCTGCCCTGTCTCTTACTAAAGCCTGTCTTTCCTATTATCTTGGTTGTTTCAGAACTGTGTGGGGTTGGTGTTACTACTAGGGTTAGAGCTGGGGCCCAAGATCTGCTCAATGCTCAGGCCCAGACCAGAAGGAACCAGTGCTCCAGGCCAGGAGTGAAATCCTGGGTCCTAGTGTATGGGACTGTGTAAGGGTATCTTGGTTCATGGTTGGGCATAGGCCTAGAACCCTGAGACTCCAAGGGAGAAATGACAGGCATTTGGCCACGTCCCCAGAACCCAGAGTCCTGACACACATGCAGTCTAGTCTCCATAGACCTGCATTGTTCAGTCACGTAGGCCATTACAACCCTTCCCAAAGTTCACAGGTAGAGGGTGTGACTAAAGGCCTCAGGCCCTAGGGATTTACATACCAATGAAGACCAGAGGGCAAAGCAAATTAAGCATTTTCCCCAGACCTTCCCCCTTTCTCCCTCCTTATTTGACTCAGGTCTGGCCTGAGTTTCACTGGGGTACATCCAGATCCATCCACCATCCACCATCCACCATGAAAATAAACCCTTTTGGGACCAAGGACTCTCTTGTGTCATTGGGGCCTACCTTCGCAAAAGCTTCTGGAACCTTAGACCTTCTCCTGTATGTGGGACCCACGGTGTGGAAAGCCTCCGGGACTCCACTGATGCAGCCCATTTTTTCCCACTCTAGTGGGCCCCAGTTACTCCCTATTTGGGGCGGGTGTTGCTGTCTCCTTACCTAAGATACTGCCCGGGTTAGAGTTCCTGGGAGTCCCACTTCCTCTGGGTTTTGTGAGATTGAGTGCAGAGCAGCCACCCGGGATCTGCTCAGTGCTCAGGCCCAGACAGGAAGGCCAGTAAGGATTTGTAAGACAGTCTCACAGCAAACTCCGTATTCCTCTGGCTCTTACAATCTTTCTGACACCACTTCCTCAGTGGTTGAGTCTTATTTGCCAAAGATATATTGTAGATATATTAGTTAGGGCTGGGCTGCACAACTCTGAATTTTGATTGGTTGTGGTTTTCTGTAATGGTCTCCATCTGTTGGAAAGAGAAACTTTTTGATGTGGTATTAAGAATACATTTATATGTGGGTATAATGACAAATATTTAGAATGTAGTTAGGCATTGGGCTGGTTTAGTAAAGTGCAAGTTTTAGGTTCTCTAAAATTCATGATTTCACTAGCCCTGGATAGTTGGCTAGGTTTCAACTCTTGTTTAATAGTTATTATTATGTCCAAAGAGAGAGCTGTTGGTTACTGTCAAGGGATCATATGCCACTACTATGCCTTTAGGTTTTTCTTGCCATGTTGGTCATTGTTACAGTATATAAGTTGTCATTGTAGTTCACAGGTATTGTGGCTCTGTAGCACTGTTGCTTTCCTCCTTTAGAGGCTTGCATGGCACTTCTGGTACCACAAAAAATCTAGTCCTCTTAGAGGAAGAATACAGATCAACTGTAGTTCAGAGGCCTATGACTAAAGTGCATGGTATCTTCAGCAACAGAGAATTGTCACCTCTCAAGGATGACCAAGGGCAATGGCAATAGCCTTTAACATTTTTTGAGTCTTTTGAGAGGACAACTCTGACCAAGAACTTAAAAGAGGGCTTCTCTTCCCTGGTGTTAATGTTAGCTTATAGTTCTTTCCCAAGTCTTGGCTATGCTCGTTGCTCTTCTCAGCCAAAAATATTACTTGCAATATTTTCTTTAGGTTTGATTTATTTAGTATAA